CAGCCCCCCCCCCCCCCCTNCCTGCAGAAACGCCACTGCTTGGTAACCACTGCCCTTTCCCAGTGTGCTTTTGCTATTGGATTATGTTCATTGTTTTTTGCTAGAGACTGGGTTATTCCAGACTGTCAATTTCTAATGTTCCATAAGTGACTTCTATCAAAACAGCGATATTCGACCATTTTAACTTTTTAAAACTGTGAGGAGATCTTTAAAGTGTGGCTCGGTTGTCATGGCATATAGGTCTAGAAATAAACAAACCTCGAAGACTGACATGGAAATTAGAGAAGATACCAGAAAAAGCGAACGCTACCACACCTCCGATAGTTACAGCGGTTTGTGTCAATCCTGAAAAAATAAAAGCAAGATCAACAAGAAGAAGAATGTTTTTAATTCTTCATCCATAGTCCGAATAAAAGAGTTCTGAAGAGGTACAGTAGTTTTTTTTCTAAAAACCGGCTTCTTTTTATCGCATCACAATTTTAGTTCCCTATCCTGGTCAAGCGCACCCTATTCCAGCGCCATCTCACCCCGCTACTGCATCGTACCTTATCTCTACCCCATCGCAACCTATCTCACTTACATCGTATCAATCGTGCCTTATCTCTACTCCATGGTACCCTATCTCTTTTCCATCGCACTACATCTCTACTCCATCGTACCCTATCTCTACTTCATCGTACCCTATCTCTACTCCATAGTATCCATCGTATCTTATCTCTACCGCATCGTATCTTATATCTACTGCATCATACCCTATTTCTACTCCTTCGTACCTTACCTCTATTCCATCGTATCCATCGTATTCATCGTACCTTATCTATACTCCATCGTATCCATCGTACCGTATCTCTACTGCATCGTACCTTATCTCTATTCAATCGTACTCAATCTCTACTCTTGTGTACCTTATCTCTACTGCATCGTACCCTATCTCTACTCCACCGTACCCTATCTCTACTCCATCGTACTCTATCTCTACCCCATCGTATCCAGCGTACCTTATCTCTACTCCACCGTTCCTTATGTCTACTCCACCTTACCCTATCTCTACTCCACTGTACCCAATCTCTTGCCCACCGTGTTCTAATTCTACTATATCGTGCCTTATCTCTACTCCATCGTACAGTATCTCTATTACATCGTACCCTATCTCTACTCTATCGTACCTTATCTCTACTATATTGTGACTCATCTCTTCTACATCGTATCCTATTTCTACTCCATCACATCCTATCTCTATTCCATCGTACCCCACCTCTTGACCATCGTGTCTTATCTTTACTCCATCGTACTTTTTCTGCACTCTACCGTGCCTTATATCTACTCCTTTGTACCCTATGTGTACGCTACCATGCCTTATCTCTACTTCATAGTGTTCTATCTCTTCTCTATCATGCCTTATCTCTATTCCATCGTGCCTTATATTCCATCGTGCCTTATCTCTATTCTATAGTGTTTTATCTCTATTCCATCGTACCTTATCTCTATTCAATCGTACCTTATTTTTCTCTATTGTGCCCTATCTCTACTCCATCGTACCATATCTCTATTCCATCGTGCCTTATCTCTATTCCATCGTGCCTTATCTCTATTCCATCGTACCTTATCTCTATTCCATTTTACCCTATTTCTTCTCTATTGTGCCCTATCTCTTTTCAATCGTGCCTTATCTCTATTCCATCGTGCCCTATCTCTATTCCATCGTGCTTTATCATTACTACATCATACCTTATCTCTATTCCATCGTGTTTTATCTCTATTCCATCTTACCTTATTTCTTCTCCATTGTGCCCTATCTCTATTCCATTATGCCTTATATCTATTACATCGTGTCCTATCTCTATTCCATCGTGCCTTATATCTATTGCATCGTGCTTTATCTCTACTCTATCGTGCCCTATCCTTATCTCTTTATCGCCGATACAGATTCCAGAAACTCACTAAAAACTAAAAACTAATTAATAATAACATTCTTACTTACCTATGAAAAACCCACTCCTAGATTTATCAGTATTGGATTCAACAAAGGTGACGAAGAACGGATATCGAGGAGATAGAGCCACTCCGTTTAATATACATCCCATAACCACCATCCAAAACGATATGGTTCCTTCAATAGCTTCTGTTTGAACATCTTGATGGTCGGCTTCAGAACACTGCTCTCTGACTGATACGTTGCTATCTTGACC